TATATATATATATACATATATATATATATATATAGATAGATAGATAGATAGGTTTTTACCACTTGGGTTTATGCTTATATATACTTAAAATTAGCAAAACTTGGCGAGAAACGGAAATGTTTACCCAGTACTGAGATATTGGGTGAGGGACTTCAGCAGGGCTTATTCTCGACTTCAGTTTTAATTAACTGCATGTATCACAACTGTAGAACAGCATGTGTTGCTAAGGATCCGCGTGTGCTCATTTTATAGTACGAATAATATATATATATAATAATAATATATATTGATCACGACACCATCTTATGGTATGTGGGTCTTCCGCAGGGCCTATTAGTTTAGGACCTTTAATTATCTGCATATGTCATTATTGTGCATCAGCCTGTATTGCTATGAAGTCATATAATGTTAATGCTAGTACGAATAATATATATACCTATCATATGTAGCCATCTTTAAAATATAGATTCCCTCAATTTAAAAATGCAAGAGTTTAGTAGATTAAATAAATATCAGTTAAACTAAATAAATTATCTGATGACTTATGTACGATATATCGGCTTTAGAATCTTTTTCGCCAAGCAGCAATTAAGTACTTGCTGCCAGAGAAGAAAGAAGGCAGGAAACGTATTTATGGTTACCCAGGTAGAAACTTAATTAAGAAACACTTCCACATCCACATTCACAGTTCCACTTGCTTCCACATAAACAGTACTGCCGTATAGTAGTAGTAGTGCCGTAGTAGTGCCGTAGTAGTGCCGTAGTAGTGCCGCCGTTATAGTGCCGCCGTAGTACTGCCGTAGTAGTGCCTCTGTTTATAAGGAAGCTGGTTTGATCTCCTAGCAGTACTGTATCACCCTGATTCGTTCATTGTAATTATATTCAACCAAGTATTGCTCAGCCTGGTGTGTGGAAGGAAGTGGAACTGTGAATGTGGATGCGGAAGTGTTTCTTAATTAAGTTTCTACCTGGGTAACCATCAAAATTAATGACAGGGCCGTAGGCTGAGCAAATTCTTAGGGGGGTGGGGGGCAGTGGCGGATCCAGGATTTCAAGGAGGGAGTGAGAAACATGTGGCGGGTCTAGGGGTCCTCCCACAGAAAATTGTGAAAATGTAGATCGCAGGAGATGGTATTTGAGGTACTTTTGAGTACATGTACAGCTTCATTCTGACTACGACAATTCTCATTTAGTAGAACAATTTTTTTTTTTTATTTTGCTCCAAAATCTAGGGGGACAGCTGCCCTCCCCCCCC